ACCCACGCACCCCCAAAAAAACTAATGAATTTTGATTATCTATGCATAGCTGTGGGAACTATATAATCTACAATGGATTGTATTCAATATCGTCAATTCCTTTGTTTTTCTAGGAGAAAATTGACTCTAAAAGATTTACCACTATGTCGAACTGGTTTTGTTATCATTATGGTTATAACACTGTTTTATTAATATCTTACAGCACTATGGAAAAAGAATTACAAAAACGCAACTTGTATATACTCTTTAACATTAATCCCCCATTTTAATAGACTCAAATTCATGTAGAAATATTGCTTGGATCGTTCTGTGGTCTTATATCCTTTTTTTTAACAGGCAAAGCCACAAATGACTCTCTTTACTGGAAGTTCACGAGTAGCAGAAAAACTGGCTGCCGATCTGAAAGGGCGGGTTAAATTAGAAGATGCAGGTTTTGACTGGAAAATCCTTGGCCCAGATGTACAAGAGGTTCTATTCAATTACTCAATCATTATCTGCGTTCTCGAGGCCTCAGCCACATGACACTTTCTATGTTGGTGAATTCTAATCATTTGTTTTCCCTCACGTTTATGGTAGGTTGAGTATGTGGCATGGGTGTGCGATCAGGATGCTTATGCTTGTAGTGGTCAAAAGTGCTCTGCACAGTCGATCTTATTTATGCATGAGGTATACTCTTATCATTGTTACCCTTATCTTTGTCTATGCTTCACAATGACAGTGTTTTAAAAAATGCGCCAAATACATGTGTGGCTTTAAGGCTTCAGGGACATGCATATCAATTCGTAGGCATGCTTCTTTTACCATAATACCTCAGATAAAGTAGGCCCGGGAGACCGCTTACTGTTTTTCACGTACTATGCTCTAAATATACCAAGCACTGCTAAACTGCTACAGATAATTTTTTTAATTTCTTAGTAGAGTCAAGTCAAAATTTGAGAATTAAAAAAAACAGTGGGAGTCAAAAATTACTTTACTGCTTTACCGTGATATATACTAGCAAGGTTCGAAATTTTGGTATTACATCCCAAGATGTTTTTAGGCGCATTGGCAGTTTTGGCTCAAAGTATCAGATTTTAGCATATCAATAATTGATAAACTTCAGAATAAATTTTGATGGGTGTGAGTATGTAAATCGTTCATGGTTCCTAGCTCTCCCTTAAGGACTTGGTTAAACAGTTATGTTCATTGACTTGGTTAAACAGTTATGTTCATTGTAAATAGGCCTTGGAATTTTCATGAATGTTGAGGTCCCATGGACCTAAGATATGTCCCTAAACACAGGCTACCTCTATTATTGTCAATCACTTTTTCTGTGACAACTGTTACCCATTGTCGCATGTATGGAGTTATTAATGCAATTTGCAAGTTCATGGTTATTTGTTGTTCCAATGCTTATAGTTCTCCTTTGAATTTTCCACTTAAACTTTTAACTTTTCATGCAGAATTGGGGTTCAAGTAAACTCATCGACTTGATGAAAGACTTATCAGAGAGAAGGAAGCTGGAAGATCTGACCATAGGCCCTGTTCTTACTGTAAGT